TTCTTTGTCTCTCGGGGTTTAAAAAAAATTCGTAGTTAAATTTTATATATAAAATCAAATAATTTTTAAAGTCAAAATTTTCCATATATTAACAAACAGAATCATTAATTTTTTGTTCTTTTTGTTATATCATTCACATTTAATTTGTCTTTCTATCTTAAACAACTTTTAAAAAACATTCTTCTCATTTTTTTTAAAATTTTATTAACACTATTCCTCCCACACTTTTTTTATCTGTTTTTTGGGTTCTCTAATTTAGTAATTATTTTATTACAGATTGTATACGAGGATGAATATTTCCGGAGTTGAGGGGAAAATCAATGCCGGTGGAAGAAATATTGACTATGGAAAAATGGACAGGGGCAACAACACACAAATATGGAAACTAACATTGCCCCAACCGCAAAAACTAAAACTGACATCGCTGCAACACAACTACTGGAAGATACCTGGCTGCAAAACGGGTAGTGGGAAGATGACCTGCTGCAATACAGCTATGGAAGATGACCCTGGGTTTTAACACAGCTATGGAAGATGACCTGGGTGCAACACAGCTGTGGAAATGACCTGGCCTCAACAAAAACTCAACAACAGAAGGGGACAGGGGGGAAACCCAAATGCTCCTCTTGCCATCCAGCCTAATCAATATTGTCCAAAGTAAAGTTTAACTCTGCAGTAAAGGCAAGCTAAAGAGTATAAAAATCTTTATACTCAGTAATAAGTAACTTGCCGCACGCCTGAACGGCGGGCCAAGGCCGCTAATAATACCTTCCTCATAATTATTAACTTCATCAAGAAAAAGAAAAAGTTGTATTTGATAGCATCCTGAACAAGAAAATTTACCAATTGAATGCTATTACAAAGCAAGTTGAAATATTTCCCATGATCACTGCTTGGAACTGTTGCTTGAGAAGCCAACTATTAGTAGGGTATTCCAGGCTTGGGCAGGAATCAGAGGAAATACTGGCAAGCATTACTAACATTCTCATTGTGACTGGGAAGATTATAGGTAACTACAGTGTTAGTGCAGAGATACCCTTCTTATACCTGCCCACTTGCAGGTACACCCTTCTTATATCTGCCCACTTGCAGGTACACCCTTCTTATACTTGCCCACTTGCAGGTACACCCTTCTTATACCCGCCCACTTGCAGGTACACCCTTCTTATACTTGCCCACTTGCAGGTGCACCCTTCTTATACCTGCCCACTTGCAGGTGCACCCTTCTTATACCCGCCCACTTGCAGGTGCACCCTTCTTATACCTGCCCACTTGCAGGTACACCCTTCTTATACCCGCCCACTTGCAGGTGCACCCTTCTTATACCTGCCCACTTGCAGGTGCACCCTTCTTATACCTGCCCACTTGCAGGTGCACCCTTCTTATACCCGCAGGTGGGCAGGTGCACCCTTCTTATACCCGCAGGTGGGCAGGTGCACCCATCTTATACCCGCAGGTGGGCAGGTGCACCCTTCTCATACCCGCAGGTGGGCAGGTGCACCCTTCTCATACCCGCAGGTGGGCAGGTACCACCCTTCTCATACCCCGCAGGTGGGCAGGTACAAACCCTTCTCATACCCGCAGGTGGGCAGGTACAACCCTTCTCATACCCGCAGGTGGGCAGGTACAAAACCCTTCTCATACCCGCAGGTGGGCAGGTACAACCCTTCTCATACCCGCAGGTGGGCAGGTAACACCCTTCTCATACCCGCAGGTTTGGGGAGGTACACCCTTCTCATACCCGCAGGTGGGCAGGTACACCCTTCTCATACCCCGCAGGCGGACAAAAAAAAAAAATATGTTTTGTGAACATCGTTGAATCAGTTATTAATTTTATCTTCAGTCTGTTAGACAAAGTTATTATGCTGACCTTGTTTGTTACTGCAACTTTGTAGCAGATGTGAATATTATGTCGAGATAACATCTTATTTTGTGTGTAGTTTACTTTTCAAACTGACTTCAATGTCCAAGCCAAAGTAGGCATGTATGTATCATCTCTATTGGTAAATTTTAAATTTAGTTACCC